CGTAGAAGCCTACTTCATTGAAAAGAAAGGTCACGACTTCATAAGCATGCAATCTGTTTCACTGTCAGACCAGGAATTTTCTTTTTTGGATGGTCATGTTTAAACCTTATTTCGCCGCAAACTGATTGCTGCCGTTATATATACTGCTGTGTCTGCACCAAATAAACGGTTGGAAGTCTGCCCTCCGTGTGTCGTACTCGTTTCTAACTCTGTCCTCGTCCTTTTGCGCAGTTCATTTATCTCTACATTATGAATATCAGATTGGAATAGCTTGCCCACAAGCTTGGCAACAACCACTGACCATAAATCTTTTTCGCAGCTGATTTCTAGAATGCTTTAATAATATTCATATAATGATGTTTCTCGAGAATGAAGCTGAAGCTCGAAACGCCAAGAGAGCCAGGTCTGTGAGTGCGTGCAAGGGGACGCCTCGCTACGTAGGCAGCCTCCCGCTCTGCATATAAATCGATTGATCCACGGAACTATCGCGCCATTTTCCAAACAAATTTACCAGGATTATAGGAACATACAGTGAATCCTAACAGTGTTGTTATCTCATAATGTATTTTTTGGCGTGTCATAACCCTTTTAAGGGCGCCTCGAAGAGAGTGGTATTTTCTAGACAACATCAAAAATGAAAAAAAGTAGAGAAATAACTGTACAGCGAAGAACACCGTAACTTCCGGGCATCTGACGACTGCCGTTGACTAATGGGTACTGAATTTTAACTGCTCTTAGCAAAAAAAAAATTTAGACTGGTATTTGAGCAACTAGATGACACTGAATTCGTGAAAGGGTCTATTCTGAAATCATGCCTGTAGCCAACACCGAGTCCTTTGTGTGATGTGCGAGCTGCGTGACTTAGGCTTTACACTGCATATAAATGGTCAGCACGATGAATTGAAAGCGTCCGGAAGACAAGCAGAGATAACAGTGGGTGTTTTTAAAAACGCGAAAGGATTTCTAGTGCAACTAAACCTCGAGATCATGTGCATCCGTCCGTCGCGCGCTTCGATAGCTATAAATTTAGAGGGAAAACCCGAATTTCTTTGTAATTATACCGTAAGTTAACTTGCTCTTTAAATTCGACGGGAAATTCCGAATTCTCGCATAATTATTCAAGTTCTATGAAAAAAAAAACTGAAGTGATTAAGCTAGACGCCTTTCCCCGTTAGATTTTAGGAAAAAAAAGAACCTTAATTGACGTATAATTATGCACCAATTCAATTTAGAAAAAAAATGGCGCTAAAATGGCGCCGCGGCGAGGCAGACGTGAACGTCGAGCTCGACCGATGCCCCAAGGAAAGCATAAGCCCGCACCTCTGCCTACCCCCCCCCCCTCCCCCTCCAATAAACGTCTTCGCTTGTGGACCCCCGCAGCGCAACCCATAGCTTGCGTCGGCATCGCCGCGTTTCGCATGCGTCTCATGACGAGCACGACGCTAGCAGACGCGTCGACGCCAAAAGACGAACGTGCGTCTGCCACTTTGCGTCGACTGTCGCCGAGCTTCGGGGTGTTTGCCGCTTGGGGCGGGTCGATCGGGGCATCCGTCACGATGACGTCATGCGCAGATCCCCTTGTCCCACTAAAACCGTGCAGTACAGACAAAGCTACAGGGGAGAGAGCGTAGGCCAACCTGTTCAAGAGGAGGGAAAGGAGGAACGGGTCAGAAGGGCTGGGATTCCCCCGATCCTCCTTTCCCTCCTCTTGAACAAGTCGGGATACACTCTCTCCCCTGTAGCTTTTGCTGTACTGCACGATTGTAGTGGTATTGGCCCAACAGCGCTGGGGGTGATCTTTTCGTATCCGGAAAATATACCTATGCGGAAAAGTTCGTCTGCTTGTTGCACAGGGATTGCGATGAAGCCAGAACGAGAATCTCCTATTGGCTAAATAAAAAAATTAAAAAATGGCTAGTCTTTCAGGTATTTAGCATTGGAGGTGACTATACCTTCAATCAAAGCCAATCAGAGCTTGACGTCGTTCTGACGTTAATACGAGTCCTGAGCAAGAAGCAGACGGCTTACTCTCCTCATTGTGAATCGCAGAACATGCACAGTGCAGACGCTTCAAAAACGCAGGGGGCGTGGCGACTCCCGTGCATCTCATCATAGCTCTGCAGCCAATCAGTCTGCTGCGTTAGACGATGAGAACACCCATGAAAGATTCACGCCTAAGCAAGAAGCGTGAACATAATTAGCCACGCCCTCCGTTTCTTAAGCTGTCGGTGAGATTCGCGGAACCAACGTTCGTTACGCATGCGCCATTCGGTGTGATGTACAACTCTAGTTTCTAAACAAAACAAAAAAACAACTTTCATTTTTTTTTTTAAAGTGACAGAAACTGTCAGTATATGATCTTTCAACGTGAGGACACGTTCCACCAATTACGTGATCACATCCGGGAGGTGCCGCCAGATTCGATTACGAGATATGCCGCCTATAGGCACGGCATGCGCATTCAATTATTTAGCCGTGTGCGTTCGCGGTCTAATCCGATTGTGCAGATTCAATGATGCGAAACGTAGCGACCTACAGACATTTAATTATAGACTGCAATGTAAGCTTGCGCAACGAGCTTGTCGTTTGAGGAAATAAAGCGAAGTTTAATTTCCTACGCTGGTTAGTAGCACACTTCTATAAAGGTTTGTGATAGCAGAAGTTAGTTGTTTTAACCGCGAAGTACACCTTAGCTTGCACGGTAACTTTTTGGCATAAAAAAACTTGACTAAAAAGAAAAGAACACTATTCGAATGTTTACAGTTAATCATTAGGTTGACTCAATTTCAGCTGACAGCTGAACAGTTTACCTGCTTCGTGCGTTCTCTTTGCTCCTTTAACTGAACACATTGAGAATTCTACCTCTAAAATAAACAAAGACGTCTATCTGCACCACGTAATGACATTACGTTCTGGCTTCTCTGAGATCACCCACGAATTCATTCGTAGCTTCATCAATCTCATCCCGAGCTAATTTTTGAGGTCCGCCCGGTCTCTAAAGTGTAATCTTCGTCGGTGATATTAAAGAACGAGAATGCGGGGAATTAAAACAGCCGGCGGTGCAGTAATTAGACGCCTTTTGTATTCGGCTTCCAATTAGACTTCAGTTTTCGACCGACTGCCGAGGAGTCGTACCGCCGAAGTGCGCAAAACGAAGACGCAGTAGCGGAGTAAATTTTATCGCGAATACACGCGTTAAGAGTAATGCCTTCGTTGTAATAAAAGACGGCGAATTTCTTGATATTCTAATCTTACGTAGCTTCATGTGTTTCCCAATTTTTTTAAGTTTTGCTTTTAAGCTTTCATTGATTATATTATTGTTATATATTACTAAAATAAACACTACCAACCTTCCAGAAAGGTTAATGATCGTATGCTAACCTCGAAGTGACGATATTCACCTTGCCGATTATATAAAACCTTTCCCGCGCCAAAGGCGCCGAGGCAACGAAGGTGTGCTGGATATAAATGGGTTACCTCACTGCAAGCAATCATGTTCTGTAGGGGCCATGATGAAACGCACACAAGTTTTCACATGACGTCAAGCCTTCGTTTTAATCGTGAGCTCTCAACGCGAAGAAGCATAAAAGCTTCTGCAGGGGCGCGGTCTGACCCAGATCGTCGTTTTGCGAAGCAACGTTCACACTGCGAAAACTAAATTTATCTCGTCATCTTAAATGGTGACGTGTTTAGTAATAGTAATAATAATAATAATAATAATACTTCATTGCATCTTCACATTGTGGATATACCGGCCCATTAAAACATGAATAAGATATCCTTATCTGCGGGACCTGGCGTCCAATGGTCTGCGTGCTTGCTGATAACAAAGCACGCGTTGTTGGCATGCTTCTAAACAAAACAAAGAAAACTTGCTCATGCTGAAAGAACAAGAGCAAAACGCAGTTTCAAACACGTGTCACATTTAGAGCACCAGTGTCTCAGTTCGTATTTTGCGTGGATTAATGAATCACAGTGACGAATCTCTTCTGGTAGTTTATTAAAGTAAAACGGAACGTAATGCTAACGAAACGCCCGTCTCCCATGTGTGTTTCGCGTCGGTGATTTAGGCGACGCCAAGAAATTCAGCTCTTCTGCTTTGTTATCTAGGAGATTTTGCAAAAATCAAGAGAGATTCCACACTGAAGTTGCATTCCCACAGTGGCGTTCGCAACCGTAACTGCGACCGCTTTGCGAACGCGGTTCAACCACCAGTGTGAATCAAGTTCTAGTCGTCGAATTGTCACGTTTTCGAGCACATCGTAGATCATATTCTTCCTCCCGAAGCTTGTTCTTCTATTTTTGGTTCACAGATGTCTACAGGGCGGAATAGAAAGAAAAAAAAGAAACGCAATCCTTTAGCCGGCCAAAAAGAAAAATCTACGCATCACAGAAAGCAGAAACTCCGAAACAATATTAGGCTTATATATGTGAACATCCGCTCAGAGAAATTTCATTTTTCTCTCACAACGCTCGATCCAGGTATCGTCACCTTCTTTATATTTCGTAGAGTTTCATCTTCCTGCGATATGCTTGGCTTATTTTGACAAATCGAGAAACCAGTAAATTCCTGGACACATCACTGCGAGAAACCTTGTTTCATTTTCTCGATCGATCCTTGTGCAAGGAAAACAAAACAGATATTTAGCTGTCCAGGATAATTTTCACTAAGCTATACCCGTTCGGAAAATCAACGAGCTGTGCACGTCCCTTATGCCAGGCCTATTATATTGCACTGCAAACATCCACCGGCGTTTTCGAAGAGAGCGCAGATACGGGTGTACCTGGGTGTACCAGACTCAGTGGCACATTGCTAATACATAACACTAAAAGACGGTCCGCACATACGGTCTGAGACGTTTTTTTTTCTTCTTCGTCGGTCCTTTCACAGTAGTCGTAAACAAACTCTCTGCCGTGGGCCTGCGACTTAATAACAGTCGCCATAGTTGTTCCGGCTTAAAGCGTAAATGCGATGGGGTGGGGCATGCTAGTGGACTCACGTCCTCAGTATCCATGATGTTGCAGCACTGTCCGAAGGAGGTGACCCCCTGGTTGGGGTTCATGCGAAGCGTGTACTCGGGAGACGGGATCGAGTACGAGGTGCAGAAGCCGCGGCACGCGTTGGTCGTCATGTCGAACTCCACGCAGTCCGGGATGCTCACCCGTCTCGTGTGGCCTGCGGCAAACGAAAAACAAAGAAAGGGAGAGAAAAAGAAAAGACGGCATCGTGAACATATACCTTTCAATCACACCGTTTTACTTTTAAAGCTACAGTCGCTATGCTCATACATGAGACAAAAGTCCCGGTACGTTCGCTGCAAAAGGAGACGGACTTGCGGTCCGTCTGCTTCTGCAGCGAACGTACCGGGTCTTCTTGCACAAGGGTTTGCGATGATGTCGAAGCGCCGAGCTCTTATTGGCCGTTTGAAAAAAAAAAATAGTGGGTAGACCTTGAGGCACTCACTTGCATCGAGGCCTACCCACCGCCCTTTCAATCAGAGCCAATCAGAGCTCGGTGTGGTTATGACGTCACCGGAACTCCCGCGCACGAAGCAGACGAATTTGCACTCCGAATAGCTCGCCCCAGCTCAGAGTCTGGGGACCGTCTTTTGTACGATCCATTCACCACGTGACTCCGGCTTGAGCCTTACCGAAGCCGACGCTGCACAATTTGATGGCGCCAATCAAGCGCCGCCGAAATTGCATCCTCACGTCGCTCGTCGCCTTTTTGTGCGTTCGCGATCACCGACCAAACCAATCACCCAAAAAAAGAAGAATACACAGCGCATTCAGTGTGCGTGATTGGTTTCAGCCGGCGCATAGCAAAAGCGCTAAGACGTCGAGCGCCATGACGATGCCCTTATTGGCGCTGCTTTATCCGCACCATCGAGCGTTGGCTGTGGACGAGCGTAATAGGAAACAGGGCATATCGCACCTATACACCAACTCAGTGTTTGCAAACAATCCCGCTTTCCCCACACCAGGCGTGAGCACTGCGCGTGCGCAGAACCCAGATTCGGGAGGAGTGAAGCATTTGCACAAGCGCAGTACCAGTGGCGTAGGCAGGGGGAGGGAGGTTCGGGGGTCGAACCCTGCCCCCCTCCCCTCCCTTCCACCCCTGTGCATCGGACCCGCTCGCTACCCTGCTCACGCAGTCGGTCTTGCACGGGGCAAAGGGCGAAGGGCAAGCGCGGACTATCTCCTACTTATAGGCATTTGAGAGAAGTGTTTGTGGGGTAGAAAAAGCTCAAATAAATAAAATAGTCAATATTCCTTCATTCGTGCTTCTTTGATGGGATTGGGAACATTCTCGTTGGGCTTAAAAACCTTGTTTCGGGTCCTCGCCGCTGCTAAAGTTGTGCGCTGACTGCAGGCTCTCCGAGAAATGTTTCGTGATACTAGATCCTAGCGGTCTTGAAATCTGCTTCCTGGCAATCTGTGGCTCTGTCGTCGAACTGCCAGGCTTTGTGAGTATAAAGGAGGCTATGGTCCGGCGCATCAGAACGCTTGTTCACGTTGCACGCGAACAATAAATGCAAAACAAAAATTTAAAAAAACGCAAAAAAGCATAAAGCAGCTCTTTCTTAGCGTTTTTATAAAACGGAAAATGTAGTGCACTATGTTTGTTTGTTTGTTTTTCGCGTTATTAGCGCTGGTGGACAGATGCTGCAATATGTTTATACACCGTTTTTATACTTATGAAATCACAGCCTAGACAGCTATGATTTTTCGTGGTTTCGAAAAGTAAGCGAAACACGCGCCACACACGACCAACCAAACTTTTTTTCTTTTTTTACAATTTTTTAAAGTTGTGATGATCACACTGCTCGGCATTTCGTCGTATTTTACAATAGAACAACAACAGCACTGCTTAGGATATGCGATCTTCACCAGCCCCTACTGTAATCCTGACCAGCCCACAGAATGGCTCCCTATGGAAGACACTGTCGCCAATGAAGTGCCTTGCTTTGCCATTTGGTCCGCTCGATCGAGGGTTTTCTGCAAGCCAAACGTGGTGTACAGCCTCTCTAGCGAACGGTCGTTCAATCCTCACCCCTGCCCGTTTCGATCTGGATGAGAATCGTATCGGCGTGCGGTCGTGTATCACTACTGCGTGGTGCACGTTAAAGACCCCAAGCTATAGCAGTTGTACTGCACCGGCTAAATTTCTCATCCACAGCTGGGAGACACGTCACCCATTGAGGCAGAGCAAGTTCTAGGCTCTATAAACATACACACAACCCAATTTTTTATCGAACGGTCTGCACGGCGCGTGGCTGGTGATTTCTGTTTCTCGGGAACATATCGTAGCCTGCCGCCAACAGGCTGCAGTAGCAGTAGCACGCAGCAGGGTGCAACGCTCTCATCTTTGCTTGGATCGAAAGAGCGCGTTTCTCAGACACGGAACCGAAAGGGCTTTTTTGTAGCCCCGAATAATTTTGTGCTATCGTCGAAATAAGGCGCGTTCTCGTACCATCCATAAATAGCCACATGCTGGTAGCCGGCGCCTCTACACTCGCGGGGAGAGCAGGTCCGCACTAGATGAAGCCGCCGCTCCTTGCGCGCTTTCGATGGATATGCGGATACCCCAGGAAACAAAACAAGCGTTTTTCATAGCCTCCGAGATTTGTTTCATGTTTTTCATGTGCAGCGCCGCGAAGTCGTAGCGTGACGAAACGCTGCGCGGTCGAGGCCATGTGCGCGCTGGCGCACTCTTCTGCGGGCAGGTCAGGAGTACACAGTAGGTCGTGATCTTCACAGCTTAGCACGCACGTGTTCGTCTATTCCGAAAGTGATCAAAGCACGTGCCGTATATACGTATACAAGCGGTGAAAATGGCGCCACGGTTCAGAAGCTCCATCTTCCCTACCTACGTCCGTGACTCGTGCTTGTAATCTGACGCTGCCCATTGCAGGCTCGCATCTAAAGGCTGAACCCAGTGGAGCAAAGATGAACAGTAAAATTCGCGCTGAAGAAATCTTTTACAACACGCCGCTGCGCGTTCGTCGCAAGCCGCAGTCCACGCGAACAAACGACCGATGAACGCCGCCAAAGCATATGCATGACGTCAAGGCGTCAGTTGATTGAGCGACTTCATCTGTACATCAATGACGCCAAAGGCAAACGCTGAAAGCCAGAGTGCAAACCAACGCATCAGCAGATAGGGTGTTCACAAAATGCGCTTGAATGGTTCGGACGTTGTTCCAACCTCTGAACCAGTCGTAAATCGGAGCCATCTCTTTGACAACATACTCGTGCCCCGCAACGGCCGTTGGCCCCGGCGGGTAGTGGTCTAGCTCGGCGGCGAACGGCCAGTCGCCCGATGTTTAAAACAAAATAAAAATGCAAATAAAATAAGAAAAACGAGGCGCCATTTTAATTTTAATTGAGAATTACAGATTGTATGAATGAATAATTCAGAAAGTCACCGTGCACATACACCGAATATATATACACTGGTGATATTTCAGCCCCCCCCCCCCCCCCCCCCCCAAAATAAAAAAAAATAACGCATAACTATTTTTTTAAACTTTGAATCCATTGTTTATCAAATTCCATATATAAATGCTCGTGAAACGGGTTTTTAGCATTTTCGTCATATTTTTCGAGGATGTATTTAAGGCATTTAAATAGATCCCCCAGAATGGAAAGGTTTTTGTTCGAAAGTCTGCAGGCATGCGTGCCATTCCGATAAAGGACAGAGATGACCTTGACAGACTATAGATAATGTAGGCTGAGGCGTTTATGTGTTCTTGTTTGTTTCTGTGCAGATGACCAACTTAGACGTCTGCTTTCCTTCCGATTTGGGAAGGGTTTTTGATAACAAGAAAGTAAAACCATTTTCTGTTTTTCATTTAAACGTACGTTCGGCACGTAATAAAGGCGATGAGCTTGGCATTCTTCTTAATGACTTCGGATTTTCTTTTGACGTGCTAATGCTGACCGAGACGTGGTTTATGCAAGAATCAGATGTTTTGAACTTTGATAATTATTCGACATTTTATTTAAATCGCTGCTCAAGGCGCGGTGGCGGAATAGCCATGTATGTAAGAAAAGATACTCAGTGCAGTCTCATGACAGACATTACTTCTATGACTAAAATTACGAATCCCTATGTGTGAAACTCGGAAACACTCTACTTGCAGTATTGTATAGACCTCCAAATGCTGATTCATCTGCTTTTTGGAGATTTCTTGAAAGAGTATTTCAGTTAGTTGGTGAAAACGGTTACAGTTTAATTTTGGGTGGTGATTTTAATATAGATATGAGTTGTGCTACCGCTTGTCAAGTTGAGTTTTCTTCTTTGTTTCAATCTTACGGTTTTTCTAATGTGATCACGCATCCTACTCGAGTGACGTCACGCAGTGAAACGGTTCTTGACTTATTTATTACAAACATACCTCTGACCCGGATTACCGCGGGTGTTGTGTGCTCTGATGTCAGTGATCATTTTCCAATTTATAATTTTTCTGATTTCGAAAACCTAGAAAAACCGTGTCATAATAGTGAATTTTTTTCTCCGGTTGTTAACGCGGAAACGCTAGGTATGTTTAGACGCCGTGTGGAATCTCAAAACTGGGACGGGATACTCTCAATGGATTCGGCCGATGAAGCGTATGATTGGTTTATGAATACATTTTGTCTATTATATAAAGAATGTTTTAAACTTCGAAAAATAACGCCACACAAAAAGTCTAGAAAACCGTGGATTACCAGAGATATACTCAAAATGATAACAAATAAAAACAAGCTTTATGAGCGTTTCGTGCGGACGAAAGACCTGGATGTGCTTAAAATGTTTAAAAAGTGTCGAAATGAAATAACTAGTATGTTAAGAAAAGCAAAAAGTGCATATTACTATCAAATGTTTTATAATGAAAATAGAAGTGACGTTATCTGGAAAAAGGTTAATAATATCCTAAATCGTAACGGTAAAGCAAACGCTATCAAAGCACTTGTAATAAATGGTAGAACTTTCAGTGGAGTAGAGTTAGCAAATAAATTTAATGACTATCTTACGAATCTATTTTCCCCTGTTCAGTTACAAAGTGGTGATCTTCGTTTAACTCAACGCATAGCAGAAAACTGCTTCTTATTTCCTACTGATGAGTGTGAAGTACGTTCGGTGTTTTTAAACCTCAAAAACAGTAAATGTGTTGATTTTAATGGTATACA